AGCCTCAGGCTCATAGATTCTTGAATACAAGATGCTGACAAATATTTTATCTTTTCCCTGTTTTTAGGATGACATTTGACAAGGGTGGGATCAATCCCGGGCAGGTGAAGAGTCTTGGGGTCTCTGCAGGTGATGGGCATGCAGTGAAGGGAGGTGAACATTCCTTGAAACAGTCAAGAATGCAGAAAAAAGAAGGCATTTCCCTCTGGTGGCCCCACTACTAAGATGCAGGCAGGGAGTGTTCTCAGCTGTCCTCCCTACTCATGGAGCTGAGGTGCCTGCCAGAGCCCCCTTGGGCTCCCTATGTACTAATTCCCAACACAGATTTCAGGGCATCACCTTGAACTCAGAGATGACCAGGGTCAATGAAGTACCAGACGCAGGAGGGCCCTGACCCAGAGGAAATTAAGTGAAGCACCTCAGCCTCTGATGTAAAATCCCAAGGAGAAGCTTTGCATCCACTAGATCCCTCTGCCTGGAATTTGAGGTAAATGTGCCCTCCTGGGCCCTGAACTTTGTTTTATAACCAATCACCCGTTTGCTTGTTTTGTGCCTAGCCCGTACCCTGTCTCAAACATCATTGTTTCCTTCAAGCCTGGGCAAGTGCCTGGCACACAGTATGAACTTTGCTGGATACATTTTAACTGAAATGATGTTAACATTACTTATTACCCGATCTCCTTTCATCAGGGGGCCATCTAAGATTACACAATAACTTCGGCCAAGTTTCACCCTCAGCAGTGCTGTGCCAACAGGGTGACCATCCAGTCGCTGCCCTCGGGCCTTCACACAGGAGACACAACTCAGCATCAAAGCTGCCGCCCTCCCTGCCATAGGTGGCTCGTCTGAAACCTCTCTGTGGGCTGTTAAGCACCTGAAATGTGGCTGATAGAGCCAAGATGGGCCGGGGTCGTGCCACACACACCAGATTTCAGTCAGTACATGAAAGCAAGAATGTGAAACACATCACTCACAATTTTTCTATTAATGATGTGTTGACACTGTATTTTGATAATACTGGTATACTCAATAAAGCATTATTATTCATTTTGTCTCTGTTTTTACTTTATAAAAACATGGCTACTAAGGCCAGACAGGGTGGCTCACGCCTGTAATCCCAGCACTTTGGGAGGCTAAGGTGGATGGATAGCTTGAGCCCAGAGTTGAAGACCAGCCTGGGAAAGACAGGGAGACCCTGTCTACAAAAACATACAAAAAAAAATTAGCTGCACCTAGTGGCACACCCCTGTGGTCCCCGCTACTTGGGAGGCTAAGGTAGGAGGATCGCTTAAGCATGGGAGGTCAAGGTGCAGTGAGTCATGATCATGCCAGTGGACTCCAGCCTGAGTGACAGAGCAAGATCCTGTCTCAAAATAAAATAAAATAAAATAATAATAAAATAAAATGTGGCTACTAGAAAATTTCAAGGACATGCATGGCTTGGATTCTCCTGCTGGCCAGGGCTGACCTGGATGTTCCTCCCAGCTGACTTCATTCACAGCAGGGTATGGCCAGTTGCTCTGTTCTATTCTGATGGACATTCAATGCCCAGCAACATCCTCGCACAAAGGATGTTCTCTGTGTAGCCACCTGCTCTCTGAACACTCCGTCCCTCACCTCCAATTCCAAATGCCAGCTCTCCATAGCCTGACGCCACTCCCTCCTCTGCCTTCTCTCCCTCGTTGGGGAGCTGTGGGGGCAGGGGGATGACTGACCATTGGTCATGTCAGGGTGAAGCTAACACCAGACCCTAAGAGCTGGCATCTCTTTAGGCAGCTTTGTGTCTTCCTTTCATTCTATGATAACACTTCATTCATTTGAAACACAGTGGAGTGGAGGGAAATGGAGTCGAGATTTACATGAGTTTGGATTTCCAACACTTTTTATTAAGGAACAATGGCACTTTGCCAACATTGGTGGGAGGGGAACCGGGACAAGTGCAGGAGAGAGAAGGCAACAGCTGTTTTGAGTTACGAACCTTCAGTCTAAGTGGGTAGCAGCCCGCTGTGGTTCTTTCTGCTGCCTCTGGGGTTTGAAATGGAGCTGGTGTCTATTTTAGTTCTGGGATAACAAGCTGTCTCTCCCACCAGCTACTGTCCCAGTTCACCGCCAGGCTAGGCCCCGCTGGCATAGGCTGCCCCAGGCCTCCTCTGATAGCAGGCTATTACGGGGATCAGCAGAGCAGAGAGAAGCAAAGGACATTAACCATGTTCTGTAATCAACTCTTTTGGGTTTCCAGATGCCAGCCCCACCCCACCTAGCAACAGTTATAGATAGAGCCACAGGGTAGGGGCGGCCTGTGTGCCCCCACAAAGGATGCCTGGCAACCTCTTCTTACAGGCCACCCTTCAGCTGCAGCTGTGGGGCCAGTAAAAGGATAGGCTGTTCAGAGGGACCAAAGTCCCTGCCAGGCAACAAAACTGCCTCAGCCAACCCCTCACCAAACACCAGGCATTACTAATCAACAGGTGAAGAAAATCCTCTAGGTGTGCTAGCTGGAAAAGCAGGACTGAAGGTTCAACTTCACAGCCTGTCTACACCACCAGCCCTATCATCACCGTGGATTAATCACTCACCAAATCCTGTCCATCCAAACCATGAAAAAACTGATGAGCGTCTGATGCAATGCCCATCTCCAACCTCTCTGCAGAGGAAGCCTGGTCTCTCCCTGGAGCAGGTCCTTTTCAGAGGGCTGCTCCAAGAGAACCCGCCCCTCACCCTGGTCAGCGTTTCAGAAGGGGACACCTGATCTGCCTCTATCACTGCCACACACCATGCTATGCGGGCTTGGACTGCTCAGAAATCTCTTGTGGGAGCCACATTATTTTTCCCATAGAATAAATCTATCTAGAAGGGAGTAAATAATAGTTCCTAAGGTGACATCTGATCACAGAATAAAATATGAAGTGAGATAAAGTATACAGAGGGGATCAGAGACAGCTTATATTCACTGTAGCACTGGCTCTGAAGGCTGCTGGGCAGGAACGTGAGCAGGAGCTGGGGTCCACTGTGTTGTTTCTGCCTCTGCTCATGATTCTCTTTGGGAGGCTCAGTTGGTAATGTCATCTCTGCTCACTCAGGTCATTGATCTATAGAACTATTTCAGTATTCATCACCCACCGCAAGCCCACATCCTGGGGATGCTGTGGACATTCCTGAACCTGTGAAGTTTCCCAAATCTCTCAGAGCTAGAGGGCCTACACAGGGAGGAGCCAGATACCTTTTCCTGGCAGACAGAATAAAACAACTGTTAAGAGACAGGCTTTGGGGCTGGGCATAGTTCCTCATGCCTATAATCCTAGCACTTTAGGAGGCCAAGGTGGGGCAGATCACCAGAGGTCAGGAGTTCAAGACAAGCCTGGCCAATATGGTGAAACCCCATCTCCACTAAAAATTCAAAAAAAAATTAGCCAAGCATAGTGGCACAAGCTTGTAATCCCGGCTATGCAGGAGGCTGAGGCAAGAGAACTGCTTGAACCCAGGAGGCAAAGGTTGCAGTGAACTGAGATTGCGCTCCAGCCTGAGCGACAGAGCAAAACTTTTCTCAATTAAAAAAAAAAGAGAGAGAAGGCTTTATGAACATAAGGATTATTTGGCCCTACCATCCTTCAATTTGAAGGATGAGAGAACCGGTTCAGATGTAGCTAGATGAGGTCCCGTATGAGCAGAGAAGGAGTAGGGTACAGGCCTGACAACCAGTCTGGGCCCATCTGAATGATCAGGCAATTTCTTGAGACTGGGGAGTTCCGTAAAGACATTTCATAGCATTTTAATTGTTCAGCAGTTTAAATTCTTCATGAGTTCCTTTTTCCCTCCCCAGCAGAAAAACTTCAGGATAATGTGATTAAGGATAATCATATATGACCTGGCATCAGGTTACCATACAATTTGGCTTTTCTCTATAACATAAGTCTTTAGCTTGCTTGGACCTTCCTATTCTAAGTCACAGCTAAACACATGTCCTCAAGAAGGAAATCTGGTCCATATATCAGGGATTCAGGCAAACAGATGCCCAAATTCTTGCATTCCCAAGCTGTCTTCTAAAACCCAAAGCTGCATGAGTATATGGCCCCTTCTACGCTTGTGACCCTGCAGCTGTGTGTGACTTCCAGGATGGGCTACTTTCAAATCTCTCAACAACAGCAGAGGTTCCTAAGTGGTTCTTTGTTCTTTTCAATGCGTAAAATCTCTGGCAGTAACATTTTTAAAATGGCAATTCTCTAGGAAAAACTTCCAAATCTATCAATTCATTAAGAACAAAGGACTGGTTGCCTGATGAGTTATCAGAGAAGGTAGAGAAAGAAAAATGAGCCCTCTGAATTTTTCTGGGAAGTCCTGTCACTACCCATGTTTTCTGCTTGGCAAGGCTGAGGATCAGAAACACTGGAGCTGGGAAGCCCCTACAATTCAAGCTGAATGGCAGAGCAAATCACCTATTACTTTTTTATTGAAACATATCAGGCTCCATTTTTGGCCAAGTGTCCTGAACTAAGCAGAAATTTCTCTTACCCCAAAATGGCTTCTCAGGTTTCTGTGCTATCAGGTCCAGCTCAGTTCAAACACTTCTAAGTGCCTATGATGCACTAGTGCTGTGCCGGGGGCATCCAACACGTGGGCTGTCCCTGTTTAGGCCATATATCCACCCATCGCTAAGACTCATTTGAGTTGCAACATCTTTTTTAAAGAAAATCTATCTGTTGTCCAAGAGCATCTGTGATAGCAGACTCCCCAGTGCTCAGGGACTCACTGGTGACTACTCAAGGAGTTTTGCTGAGAGAAAGAAAGCACAGTGAACCATGTGAACATCCTGTAGCTACAGAGACCCTCTGACAACTCTCAGCCAACTTCTTCTCCACACCAGTACTTCCTTAACTGCCTCTCTAGTGTTGTTGTGCACAAGTTCAATCACTGGAGCCCAATGTGAAGTAACGGAAGTTCAGAACATGTCACATGCCAGGAGAAACAAGAATGAACAAGGTCTAGTTCACCCTTTCTTCTACCTTAGTGGGTTATCTGAATGGGTCTCCATGTGGGTCTCCAGTCCATACTTGCACACAAACTCCTTGAAACATACTGGGCAGTGAAAGACTTCATCAGCCTTCTTCTCCAAGTCACCTGACTGCCCATCTTCTACCATCTGAGGGAAAAGGAAAAAAGTGAAGTCACGAAGGAGGTCTCCCACATGGGATGGCTTTGGAAGAGAGACCAACACTAAATCCACAGATTTACAATAATAAAAGGCAAGGGTTGCATTATCCAATCCTGGTTATTAAGGACCTGACCATTCATTCATTCACTCACTCATTCACAAAACAAATACCCCCAGAACACCACCTACCATCCATCCACCCACCCACCCACCCAACCATCCACTGACTTGACAAGTACTTATGCAGCACCTCTTATCTGTCAGGCACTGGTAATAAAAAAAAATAAAGACAAAAGAGTCCTGAATGCTTATGAAGCTTCCATTTTAGCTAGAAAACCATGTAGAAAGCATGGAAACAATCGCAAAAGCTCTTCATTTCAACTCTGGGCTCAGCAGAGGGGCTCCAAAGAGGAAGTGCACACTGGTAGTCTTTTCTTAGACACTTTACAGAAACAGTATGGGAAAACACAGGTTAAGAGCTTAGGATGGATGTCTGCCAAGTCTCCACACTGCGAAAATAAAGATTAGTGGTATTTCTGACAAAAGTCCCATGAGCAGGCACATCTGTGCTGGGAGCCAAGAGGACCTTTTTAGCTGGTGCTGGGTCTTCTCTCTCTGACTCGGCATCATGACTCAGTTTCCTCTTGGAGGAAAGTCGCCTACGCTTCAGCGGGGATGGAGGGGCTGTGGCTGTGGCACTGTTAGGGTCCTTCTCATGGATCTTCATATGTCTGAAAAAAACACACACACACAATGTGATCTAACAAAAAAAGTTCATTTATGTTTTTAATATTTTATATTTAGGCATTGGTACTTAAATTTTCTTTAGTTAAGATATATAAAGTATAATTTATATAATTGACTTATATCATTTTTAAAACTCTATTATCTCCTTGAAGCTCTCTTAAAGTTCTTGCAAGTGCTATCGAAAAGTGTTGCTCAATGCCTTGCTGTTCACTGGAAGACATTCATGAACTTAACTCGCATTAACAAGATGAAAACAAACTATCTGGTGACCTGCTCCAGTCATGCAGACAAAAAGGACTATTTTAGGACATGCAACTCTGTAGAATAAAGAATTCCCAGATACCTAAACTGTTCCACTAGTTCATAAACTACATGATAATGCTCCCCTTGTCCCTAGAACCCACCTCCCATCTACCTGTTGTACACATCTCTCGTCTGCCTTTGGAAGCATTTTGGTGGTCAAATTTGAGATATGCTAACAAAGCAGATGTCCAGAGTGTTTAAGACCTGAAAGCAGTTCCATATTGTTAATAGTATTATGTGGATTTATAGATCACAAGAGTAACTTGGACAATGGAATGAAAAAGTTACATGCGGTAACTATAATATCTACAGGACTAGGCTACCCATATAAGAAAGTGTTACATAAAATATGTTTGTCTATTCCAGAAAGAGTCTTATGGATTATCTGACTTAAGTAACCTTACTTTATTGAGTTCTAAAACAAACATTCTAAGAACAAGGTCCCAAGATATATGGGAAAGAATGATATTACAAATGAATAGTCAGCCTTAATTTCTCAATTTTGCAACATAAAAATAATTTAGTTTAGCCAATGACAATCATCATTACCATCATCATGTAACTGTGGTTGAACTGTGCCATATTTAAGACTGTAGCCACAGCTTTTTATGAATATTTTATAGGATTCTCTTGCTTGAGAAATTCTCTGGAGCAGGCAAAGACAGCAAACTTTTCATGAGCTATCCCGTTACCCTTCTGAAAAGAAGTTCCGCTCTCTTTTTAGCTGTACCTTCTTTTTTGCTGTTGTTGAGACGGAGTCTTGCTCTGTGGCCCACGCTGGAGTGCAGGGGCATGATCTCGGCTCTCAGGAGGTCATGGCTGCCGTGAGCTATGATCATGCTACTGCACTCCAGCCCGGGAGACAGACTGAGAACTGGTCTAACAACAACAACAACAACAAAAAGGCCAGCCAGGGTGGCTCACCCCTGTAATCCCCGCACTTTGGGAGGCTGAGGCGGGGAATCACAAGGTCAGGAGATTGAGACCAACCTGGCCAACATGGTAAAATTTTGTCTCTACTAAAAATACAAAAATTAGCTGAGCGTAGTGGTGCACGCCTTTAATCCCAGCTACTCGGGAGGCTGAGGCAGGAGCAACACTTGAATCTGGGAGCTGGAGGTTGCAGTGAGCTGAGATTGTACCAGCCTGGCCACAGAGCAAGACTCGGTCTCAAAAAAAAAATAGAATGATAAAGAATCACAGACAACCATTATTTAGTTCTTGGCCTCCTAAAGCCTTGACAAAGTCAATGGAAACAAATAGCTTTGTTTCAGCACCACCTCTATTCCAAAGTGATTATGATTTGAGGGGTCCATCTCTTAGTATCAAGCATTAGGAGCAAAAAAGAAAGGCTGGCAAGATTTTGACACTCCAATTTTAGAAGTGCTCATTTTAAAGAAAGAGCTGACAAAGCATTATAAGAGATTTAAACTATCATCAAATGTGCCCTTTCAATAAATTACTCAAAATTAATTTTAATTAAATTAACAACATCCATACCCTTTTCTACAGTTGATACAAGAATATTAGAAATTAGAGGCTGACAACTATAAACAGTTCATAAGCCCATTTCAAGCTCTATCTTTTGAATCATATGACACAATATTTATAGAAATACAAAATGATGCTTTATTATTTTGTTCTTGGGATTTATGAGAGAAGCTGTTTTCATAAAGGAGAGACTGGGGCTAACACTTAGTGAGGGCCTAGTAGGAATCTTAGTTCATTATTTTCATTGTGCAGATGTGGCACCTGAGGTCCAGGAAGGCCAACCTGCCCATACCGTCAGAGCTTGAGCCGACCTACACGCGCCGACTCTGAGCTCATGCTCCTCCCGCAACCCCAACCTATCTCATCTCCCAAGGCCACACCAGTCAGTTAACTCCATTCTGGATGACCAGCTGCAATCTTAGGGATATAACCTGAATCCAGACACTTCCTCTTTGGTGGACTGTGGCCACGGGTGGCACAGTTACTACCAAATTCTAATCAAACTTCAACAGGAGAAAGAAGGGGGTGAGACCCCCATGTGTAAAAGCACAAGCACTGCTCCATTCCAGGGTAAAATCCCCACCTACTGGCCACAATGTGGCCAAGTTCCCACTTTGTCCTTCCAGTCGCATAATGAGCAACAGCCACAGGTGCACTGATGACCTCAATTCAGGGTTGGAGAGGTCTGGCCGGGTCTGACAATGGATGTGATGTAGTGAGAGATTCTCCCCACCCTGACTCCTGCTTTGCTTCCCTGACCTCCAACAACAGAAGCTGCAACTTGAGCTGTTCATTTCCTCCCAAAAGCTCACAGGAAGTAGAGCCAGAATCATCATGATGAGACACTAATGGCCCCTTCCCCTCAAGGTGTGGCCAAAACAAAGCAAGGATGGTGGGGAAGAGACTATTCTAATCCTTAGAAGGCTTGGGTCTATCTTTCTCTCAGGGTTGATTTCAAGGGCTAATCTGTCTAATTTCCATGCATCCTGAGAGTCAATAAAAGACAAGGAGCCCATGAACTGGATGGGAGCTGGGATGGGATTCAACCCCCTACTCTGCACAGAAAGTCCCTCTCCACAGCAGACTGGAGGGATCACCATTTAGTTCTGCTTGGACACTTCCAGCAACAAGAACTTCTCCATTTTCACCGGCTGTTCAAAATTGTTAAAATCATCTCCGTTACATTGAGTCAGAAATTCTGTCCTTGCTTTAATGTCTATCTGTCTGTCCTCAGGGGAGATGCTGTGTTATAGCATCAGTCTATGTTCTCATTGGCATGGCAGCTCTTCAAATAGTGCAAGAGGACCACTGCATTTCTGTAATGTGTTCTCTTTTCAAAACAGAACAACCCCCTTAAGCTCTGCTTGCAAGTCTGTGGAATCATGCTGGTCCTAAGTAATCTTGGAATGCTCTCCAGTGTACAGGTATCCTTCATGAAATGCTGGATTCCAGATGCAAATTCCAGTCTGGATGTAATCTGACAGCTCAGGGCACATGGCTGGCACTACGACCCCCAGAAGCTATGTAAAGGGAGGCTGGGTGGGTTCCATTGGGTGTGTTTATATCCTCAGTTCCTACCAAGTTTGCTGTCAATCACGATCCCCGCGATTCCCTCACTGACTGCTATCAAACCACGTTTCCTCCATTCTGCACTTGACTAGTGCGTCTTTTCACCTTCCAGACTGGCAAGCGTGAGAAAGTCTTACAATATTCGGTGTTGGTGTGGTTCAGACAATTGATATTCTTCCATCGTTGGTGGGAGTAGAAATGAGTGATTGCCATTCTGCAAAGTGGCTGAGCAACAGAGATCTGAATTTTAAATATGTATGCTCTTTACTCCAGTAATTCCACTCCTAGAAATTTGTCTTAAGGTCTAATAACTGGACAGGTATGCAAATATCCATATATAGGGATTCACAGTTCATTATTATTCACCAATGGATACACTGCACAAACACTAGCAATGGCAGGAATTCCCACCAGCTGGTCTTAGTATCTCAAACTGACCACTCTGCTTTTCCTCTTGCTCTCTTATTGTCCATATTCTATCCAGCAGCCAGACTGAATGTCTAAAATACAGGACCAATCATACCACTCCCCTGCTTAAATTCCTCTGACAGTCCCATTCTTAGAATTAAATCTGGCTTCCACCTATCTCCTAGACTTCAATAGTAGAGCACTCTGCCCTCTTCCATCCCAAGGCCCTTTCAGACAGACTAGTCCCTGTGGGTCCCTTGAACATGTCCAACTAGTTCCCACCTCTGGCATTCAGGTACTTGCTGCTTCTGCCTGGAAAACCCCAGACCTTCCCAAGCCTGGCTCCTACGGTCCAGGTATCGTGCCATGCACCTCTCCTGCAAAGCCTTCCCTGAGGCCCCACACCCCACCTGTGTAGATGCTCTCAAGCCCACTATTCAGTGTTCCTTCCTCCACAGCACACAGCAGTGCTGAAGGTATCACGTATTTTACTCATCTCACCATCCCCTCACCCTCAATTGAAGTAAGTTCCATTACATCAAGAACCAGGTCTCTGCTGTTCTCTGCATGAGCCCTGGTAGCACAAAGGTGTTGGTATGTGAAGAATAAACAAATAAATAAATATTTGTTGAATTCCTGAATGGACAAAAGGGAAGGAATGAAGTGTATGTAGAAAATGTTTGCTTCACTCAGGGTATCACCACAGCATACATTCTCAGGTTCCAGGACACCTTGTAAGTTGTCTTGCTAGGATTTGGTGTGAGCAAACGTGACACGAGATTGTGAACACTGTCACAATGAAGGGACTTCAATCAAAAACACCCCAAAAATGAACACTGAGGACATGGGTTAATCTTTTCTTATTGGAATTCATAACAACACCTATACTCATTGCAGAGAGAGGCTAATGTAAAATCAAAGTATGCTTCTGCTTTTCCATAAAATTCTGTAATTTTTTTTTGGAAGCATGACACTTTAACAGTAGAAATCCTGCCACACTATGGTCTAAGGAAGGAATTTTATCAGAATTTTTGGAGTCAAGAGAAGTTTTATCCTACTCATAACACCCAAAGAGGCTTTTACAGTGATGAATGAACACAAATATTACAGATTTTTTTAAACTTGGAAAAAAAAATCTTGAGTACTTTCTGGCATGGATCAGAACCTACTTTAAATCTAGGAGTAGATGCTGATTTTCGACTTAAATTGTTTT